CTCACTACAGAGGTTATTTGGGCAAAATATGAAGAAATCGCAAATTTCGCGACTGTCATCTCATTCTCGGTATTCACAGGAACTGGCTCTTAAATCGTACAAAAACATTGAGATATAAAAAAGTAACCATCGTTTATTTTCAGTATCACATTGTAAACTAATTTTCTTAACAACAAAAGCTAAATTGGAACCCTGCCGAGCGCCAAATTAAACGAGAGATATATATTGGCTTTCGAGTCATATTTTATTCATGAATTTTTCGTCCCTTCATTCAAAAAAAGAAAAAACTACTTGAATTATTGACGATCTTCCTGAGAGTGGTATCTAGCATTTAACAGATGAAAACAAAGTCAAACCCAGGAACAGACTGCTTTTTTACTACAGTATCTTCACTGAGGTACAAATTTAAACATTTTCAAGAAGATGTTTTACAACATATTTGGTTTTCTGTATTACCTTCGATTAATTTTTGCCTTGGGAAGCTGTTCGCCCACTAACGGTAAGTTCTCGGATTGATGTGCTGTTAAAATTTACTATTTGGCTTTGGTTGCTTTTTTTTTTCTCCAAAAGATAAACACGCAATCACTTAAATAACATAATGTAAATAAACAAAAACTAGACCAAACTGATTTGAAACTACAGCATAAACAATTATAAGCCTTTCATGAGTGTGCCTGTACGTCTCCTGAAGCTAGATTAATATTGTTGCAAATGATAGGCAAGTCTCTTCAATTGATGACTATTTTACCTCACCGCTCAGAGGCTCAGCTCCGGTGTAATATAAATAATATTTTCCAATGTAATATATCATTTATTATGATCTCTCCATTGTTTATATATTGGATACCAAGAACTGTTGAAAGCAAGTACGGCCAGATATTGTTTCGCTGTGCCACTCAAGGAAAAGAGCCCTGTATGAAACACCTGGTAAAACCTGAAGGTCCGCCAGTTATTGAACAACAAAATTCTTCACAACGGATTAAAAAAACTGCCAGAAAGTTTTCGACCTCTGAAAAACAGAAAACTAAGGGAAAACTCCACAAATCACCGCTTAATATGACCTCGCAAGTATTAAACATCTACATTTTTACGCATTGCCGTAACACGCCAGACAAGAATCTTGAATGTCATTGGCTCGGAAATTAAATTTGGTAAGCTCCTCGAGCAACACAATTCATTGAGGAAAAATTGAGATCTAACTTCACTGTGGAGGGTAGATAAATTGAGAAAATTAGAAAATTTTCTCTTGTTCAGACTCTACGCCAAAGCAAAGTTGGTAACAAGCGTGGCTTCTTTTATGATTCATTGAATATATTCTCCAATAAGTAGTAAAGGAACTAGAAAGTCAAAAAGATCGTTCAATTTTTATCTCAACTCTATAGCAACGTAGGCTACACACCAGCATGGAATTTCCTGTTTGGACATTTTGCAGAGTGAGGACTCTGTTGGTGACGGAGTGTACTTGATTGATCCTGAAAACGACGGAAATCCTTTGAAGGTCTTTTATGATATGACAACTGATGGAGGTATCGACGAAATATCCAGATTCTGTTGATTGTTGTGCAACTTAAAGGGTCTAGGTCCCTTCGGGGGATACTGCCAGAAAAATTGGGTAGGGTGTGCAGCGAGTCTCTTGAAACCCTTACCCTATTNTTGAAGAAATTCGATTTTTTCGCTATTTCCAAGTCTAGTTGATATTTAGGCGAAGCTGCTCTTAATAACAGAATAGATAGTATTCAAATGAATTAAATTCAACGGGCAACAGTTGCTTAATCGATTGACTTGTCATAGGTGACTGCCGTACACTGGTGTTTGACGCTACAACTGAAGGCAGTGCTCTCATTGGTCACGTGGTCAAGGGTTACGTAGTAAAGTCGCAAGGTGATTGTGAGTTGAAATGCTATCTGGAGGACGAGTGTGTGTCGATCAACTTTGGTCCTGAGGACAGAGAACACACCTTTGTGAACTGAGTGATTCAGATCATGATTTACATCCGAGGGATCTCAGACATCGACATGGCTTCATTTACATAGCACTGGGGTAAGATGAAATCACAGATGGCACATTATGAGACTGAAAAATAGCTTTTCCTGAGATACTATGACCATATTTTGATCGGAATTTATTCTTCTGCTTACATAGAACTTTTGCGTCAATAATCCATGCTCGTCGAACAGCCGCTGTCAAACAGGATTCCCTGATAAAGGATACCGCTGCATAGGTAATACACAAACGAGAAATAAAAATAACAAAAATACGCGCTGTTTTATTACAATTAGTTCAGAATCACGCAAAATAATTGTTCAGACCATTAGAAAATGTTCTCTTGTTGAGACTCTTCGCCAAAACAAAGTTGGTAACAAGCGTAGCTTCTTTTATGATTCATTGAATCTAATATATTCTCCAATAAGTAGTAAAGGAACTAGAAAGTCAAAAAGATCGTTCAATTTTTATCTCAGCTCTATAGCAACGCAGGCTACACCCCAGCATGGAATTCCCTATCTGGACATTTTGCAGAGTGAGGACTCTGTTGGTGACGGAGAGTACTTGATTGATCCTGAAAACGACGGAAATCCCTTGACGGTCTTTTGTGATATGACAACTGATGGAGGTATCGACGAAATATCCAGATTCTGTTGATTGTTGTGCGACTTAAAGGGTCTAGGTCCCTTCGGGGGATAGTCCCAGAAAAATTGGGTAGGGTGTGCAGCGAGTCTCTTGAAACCCTTACCCTATTTCAGACCAAAATTTGCTACTTTTCCTACCCTGTTACAGACCTACCCCAAAATTCGATGCCTTATATCAGACCTGACTCTTAAATCAATCTCTTATTTCAGGCCTGTCTTATCATCAGTTCCCTAGTCCAGACCAATGTCATAGGCATTGTCTATATGCTTTCACTGAGTATCCTGTTTAACGTTTTCGATGTTGATGGTCTTAATCAAAAAAATATGAACAAGAAGTTTCTTCTAAAAACGTGTACAATTCAAGACCAGAGTGCGCATGCCACACTCTTTTAAGACCACAACAGCTTAAAAACCAAACTGTTTAGCATTGGCGCCGCACATACGTATTTTGCCCATAGAAGGGAGTATCTTCCCCGGCCTTGGTCAAGGTATTTAATGAAACTGACATTTTGTATAATTCTTTTAATTTAAAATTGGCCGAGCAATAGTCTTTTTTTATTGGCCACATAAGTAGGATGATTTCCGAGTGCTACAAAAACATTTTTATGCAAAATGGCATAAATCTGAAAAGCGGTCGAACATGTGTTTTTCAATTTTTCCCAAAAGTAATCCGTCTTTTAAATCTTCTCCAATGTTTCCCTTCCACGCCCCTTTTTCGCTTTCCCTGTTTTTCTTTTGAGGTCTTTTACAGTGTTAGGTCGTTATTGTGACATATCAGTTATTTCTAAAACCATTTGATAAGAGCTGAAATTGCCTTAAAATAGCTGAAATAGCCCTTTTTAAAGCCTTTCAATAACTGATATCTTAATCGATCACATTCGTCTTTTATTTTTCGTTCAATTACTTTTTAAAAGTTTTGATTATTTCGATTTTTAGGCGGATGGCTCCTTGTTGCCAATCTCGTGATGAGCGATTCTTTACCCCCGTCTCCCTGGACGGCTGCAAAAAATTACCAAGAAATCCGCAATTATTTCAACAATAGGACGGGTCTATCGAGAACCGCCATGAAAGATTTGAGAATACGATTAACTTTCACTCAACTGCGGTTTCACTGCAGTAAACAGCAGCGACATGCGTTCCACGTGATCACGGTTGCTAACAGCACTGGTGAAGCTGTAGTTCAGTACTTCAGCGGTCAGACGGATGAACAGCCTAAAGCCTGTGGCTCGTTTGTTAGAATGGAGGATGACAATTCACAACTGGCTTCATCCTGCCACTTGTGGGGTAACAAGGACAATGACAAATGGGAGATGGAGACTAATAAAAATTCACACCCGATGTACAGACACGCAGCATATATTCGTCAGGGACATAACGCGAACTGGGTTATTTTTCCCGCTAGTGATGGCAAAAAACAGTGTGATGACTGCACTAATGACGTGTCTACAGGCGACTTTTGGAAGATATTTGTGCGCTAGTCACATACCGAAAGAAATAGAGTATGCAGGGGTGTATGTGTCTGTGGGTGTAGCCGCACCCAGGGAGGCACCCAACAAATTTTTACGTTTAGGCCCCGCCCCGAGGTCCAACCCCTTGCCCTTTTATATAGTATTTTGACAGAAAGGTATCCTTTTCGTATACCTTTTATTGAAAAAAAAAACATTCCCATCACATTACAGCTTGAAAACACTGTAACTGAGGTAACTGGCCCGTCTTATGAATCAATCTACAAAAAAAGGAAGTCTTCTTGTCATTTTCATGTGGTGCCCAATACATTTAATGATACAGCCATAAGGTGTGTCTGCTCGAAACATTTTAATTAAAGGCCCCTTTAAATACCTAAATGATAGATTTCGCTACCCTACCGTATACATCAACTTCTGAATTCCCTGCCCTTTTATATACCTGAAACCTGGCGTTTACTTTAAACTTGACTGGCGGATCAGGCTTTTATTGACTTTTGCAGTTTATTCGAGCCTGGAGTTTATTAGAGTTTTTAGTCATTAATTTTAGAACTTTAAAATATCTTATAATTATACCTAAAGTTTACTATAACCTTGAGGGTCTTACTTACGAATCTAGGTGGGAGACCCCATGTTTATTCAAGAAAATAAGTTTGCCTAGGACTACCAGCACGCTTCTGTGGTCTGACAATGAACCTTTACGGTGTCTTATCGGCTACTTATTGAAAAGTGTGATGAATTTGAATGTTTACCACTCGCGTTATCACACATCACGGAAGACTTTTCCCGGACTCTCTTGCTAGTCAAAAACTATTCAGTGGGTTGTTAAGTCAGAAGAGAGGTTTTGAGAAGATTATTGTTTGTGTCTTAATAAAAGGCATATGAATTGTCTGAATATCAAAGTAGGTTTTGTTTTTATTAAATATTACTATATAGTTCACAGCGTCTTCTAACCTCTTTTGGATTCAATTAAATATGTCGTGCATTTAATGGTTATGATAATGGTTATGATCATCCACCAAGCTATAGGCTTCTGATGAAAAGAGTTGCCCATTCCCTAAAACACGAGTCTTATACGCGGCACGCAGCCCTCCTCGAAATAACCGTTGCAAGTAAACTTACCTTGCAAGCGACTGCTTCACAAAAGAGACAGAATCTCACCACTGAGAAAAGAACGATGTCTATAATTACCTGACGGATTCTACCTTTTGTTTAGCAGCTCATTTCGCCACGAGTTGAAGTCAAACGTTGGTGCG